AGAATAGAATAGAATAGAATAGAATAGAATAGAATAGAATAGAATAGAATAGAATAGAATTCTTTATTGGCCAAGTGTGATTGGACACACAAGGAATTTGTCTTTGGTGCAGAAGCTCTCAGTGTACATAAGAACAAAAATAAAATACATTCATCAAGAATCATAAGATACAACACTTAGTGATAGTCATAGGTTACTAATAAGCAATCAAATCATACTAGGAAACAGAACAATATAAATGGTAAAGATTCAAGCAACATGGTTATAGTCCTACGTGGGAAGAGATAGGTACTAGGAAGGATGAGAAGAAGAATAGTAATACAGTCTTACTAAGTAGTTTGACAGGATTGTGGGAATTATATGTTTAGCAGAGTGACGGCATTCAGGGAAAAACTGTCCTTGTGTCTAGTTGTTCTGATGTGCAGTGCTCTCTAGCGAAGGGAGCTTGAAGGTCTTCTAGTCCAACCTTACACTGTTCAGGACAAATGGCTGTCCAGTCTCTTCTTAAAAGCCTCCAGGGATGAAGCACCCACAACTTCTGGAGACCAGTATGGCCGGTCTAGAGAAAAGGACTAGGGTGGACATGATATTCCAACTAATCAAGGAGAGAAGCAACCTGCAATTCAGGAGAAACTTCCTAACCGTGAGGACAATTAGCCAGTAGAACGGCTTTGCCTTCAGAAGTTGTGGGTGCTTCATCACTGGAGGTTTTGAAGAAGAGACTGGACAGTCCGTTGTAGGAGAATGGTGCAGGATCTCCGGCTTGAGCAGGGGGGTGGACTAGAAGACCTCCAGGGTCCCTTCCTGCTCTATTTTGATTGATTTGACTGAGAAGCTAGTCCGAGTTACAGGAAGTTTTTTACTAGCAAGTCTACTGATCAGACACCCGCTCAGAATTGTTCTGTGCTGTTTACACTGTGAATAACCTGTGTGTGTGTGCATGTGTGTTTACATTAGCAGGTCTAAATCCAGGGGCAAAACAGCATCAAAAAAAGGAAACACCTGTTCCTTAATTAGATTGACATATTGCAGTTAACCATAATGGGATATGGTTTGCAATAAACCAGCATGTCACCTGGCTCTGGGCTGGTTGCTTCTAACCTCGGATTAAGGGCTTAGCGTGGCAATTATCTACATGGCTACTAGGAGGCCTTGACGGAACGGAACGCTCAATCAGGATAGGATAATGCAGGCAGTTGAATTTATTCAGCACCCTTTGGTGAAAAATGCTTGTTGTGTTGTATGAATCTAGCAACAGCAAGGAGCCACACCTGCCTCTAAACACAACCTAGTTAACCTCATTTCTTGCTCCCTTTAAATTAGTGTTTCTCAACCGTACAACTTTTTAAGACACACATTTTAAAGTTGGCAGGGTTGAGAAACACTGCCTTAGACATTTCAGGATTCTGAAATTACCACAAATGACCAGAAGTTTTTATGTTGTTCTAGCTCAATACCCATGCTTCGCTACAAAACTACGTGGCCGGGCTTAGTTTTTGGGGAGGGAAAATAAAGGGGAAAAAAATTCTGCCTCTGCCCACCAGCATCTATCGGTATTCATATGGCTAGCATCCTGTCAGTGTGTGGGAGAGGGCTGTTTGGAAAGTGAAATATGGAAACTGAAGCAAGAAGGAGACAGCAAGGAGCCTGGGCGTGGCTTAGCTCAATTGTTCTGTACTAAAGCTGCTTGGTGCTCTGAAACCGAACCTCCTCTCCTCTGCTTGTGTTTTGCACTTGGAACAGATTTCTTTTCGGGTGGGGAGGGAGAGTAGAACTCCTTAGCATCGGAGCTTGTTAATAATAATACTATATGAAATGCTAATGCTCTGATGGTCATTTCGAAAAATCCTTTCTTAGTGAGCACCTAGAAGCCAAGAGGAACAGACGTGCCAAATTTCAAGTTTGTAGCCTTTAAGGTTTATTTTGTGGAGATGCGTTAGTGGCATTTCGCTTTTATATCTATAGATTTGCCTTCCTCACAATTTGAGGTTGGAGGAAGTCTCTCTGCCATAAATAAGAGGTAGTCCTCGTCTTATGATGGTGATGGAGCCCAGAATTTTATGACATTTTGTTAAGTTTTGCCCCATTTGACAATCTTTCTTGCCACGTTTGTTAAACAAATCCCTGCAGCTATTAAAACCAGTAACCCGGTCGTTAAATGAATCTGGCAATCCCCAGTGACTTTGCTCATCAAGAAGGTCTCAAAAGGGGTAGAGTTGTCTTTAGCAAGATTTATTGAAGGAAGAGGGAAGCCATTAAGAAAAAATGATTGTTAGGATGCCTGGTGTTGCTACTCGGTTCTTGACACATCTTCTCTCTTCCTTCTTCCTCCACATAGGCTCGGCTCAGATTTCCCATTGATTATCCTTATTCGCCGCCTGCCTTCCGATTCCTGACCAAAATGTGGCATCCCAACATATATGAGGTATGTTCTTGTGCCAGGGCTGGACCTGAGGCCGACGTCTTCCATGATCTTCTCTTGCAAAGTGGATAAAAGCACCTCGGTCTCTCTGGCTCAAGTTTCATACTAGAATATTTGTCAGTATTCATTTCAGTCTTATTCAGTCTCTTCGGGGCCCAGAGGATCGATCCCAATGCAGTCCTAGGCTGCATAGGTAAAATAGATAGATAGAATTCTTTATTGGTCAAGTGTGATTGGACACACAAGGGATTTGTCTTGGCGCAAATGCTCTCAGTGTAGATAAAAAGAAAAAATAAATTCATCAAGAGTCAAGAATCATCAGGTACAATGCTTAATGATAGTCATAAGGTACAATAAGCAATCCAATCATACTAGGAAACAGTCAATATAAGTCATAAGGATACAAGCGACAAAGTTACAGTCACAAGTGGGGAGAGGATGGGTGATAAGGAGTGATGAGAAGATCAACAGTAATAGTAATGCAGACTTTGTAAATAGTTGAACAGTCTTGAGGGAATTATTTGTTTAGCAGAGTGATGGCATTCAGGGAAAAACTATCCTTGTGTCTAGTTGTTCTGGTGCGCAGTGCTCTATAGCATCGTTTTGAGGGAAGGAGTTGAAACAGTTTATGTCCGGGATGTGAGGGGTCTGCAAAAATTTTCACAGCCCTCTTTTTTTTTTTTTTTTGCATGAACAGAGGTTTACTATCCAGATCATGCTAAGTGTTAGCACCTCTTTGTACTGCACCGGTAAGGTCACGCGTGGAATATTGCATTCACTTTTGGTCTCCACTATTTAAAAAAAGATGTTGAGACTCTAGAAAGAGTGCAGAGAAGAGCAACTACGATGACAAGGCTAAAACATATACAAAGAATGGTTGCAGGAATTGAGTATATCTAATATGGTGAAATAAAAGACCAGGGTGACATGATAGTAGTCTTCCAATATTTGAGGGGCTGCCACAAAGAAGAATGGGGTGGCGGGGTGTGTGTGAACATATTATCCAAAGCACCAGAACGCAGGACAAGAAGCAACGGATGGAAACTAATCAAGAAGAGAAGCAACCTAGAACTAAGGAGGAATTTACTGACGGTTAGAACAATTAACCAGTGGAATGGCTTGCCTTCAGAAGTTGTGTGTGGAGTTTGTTAAGAAAAGCCATTTGTCCAGAATGGTATGGAGTTTCGTGCTTGACCAGTGGTTTGGACTAAAATAACGGAGTTGGAAGGGATCTCGAAGGTCTTCTAGTCCAACCCACTGCTCAAGCATTTCAGACAAGTGACTGTCCGGTCTCTTCTTAGAATCCTCCAGTGATGAAGCACCCACAACTTCTGGAGGCAAGGAGTTCCAATGTTCTCCCTGTCAGGAAATTCCTCCTTAGTTCTAGGTTGCTTCTCTCCTTGATTAGTTTCCATCCATTGGAATCTCCACAGACATTGAGGCAAATTTACACTTTCTAATTTATGAATCAAGCCAACTTGAGGAAAAAGGTGGGCCTTTTTTTTTTAGCCCTCGAGTTACAACCAGATACAGGTAGTCCTTAAGTTACAGTCACTAAGTGGCTTGCGATCATTTTTCACAACCCCATGGTCACACGATCAAAATGATGACCCTGACAACTGGCTTGTACTTAAGACGATTGGACTGTCCCGAGGTCATGTGATCATCTTTTGCGACCTTCTGACAACAAGTAAATGGGGAAGCCAGATTAGCTTAATGACTACGTTACCAACTAAACAACTGCAGTGATTCACTTAACAACTGTGGCAAACAAGGTGGTAAAATGGGACAAAATTCACTTTAACAACTGTTGTGCTTAGCAATTGAAGCTTTGGCCTCACTTGTAGTCATAAGTCGAGGACTACCTATAGCAATAATGAAAATGCAGTGACCGCGGGACATTGCAAACAGCCCTATAGGAAGCCATTTTGAAAGTACTTGAATTTTGGTCATGTGACCACAGAGGCTTGTCTGCCAGTACACCAAATCTGGGTTATAGCTCATAGGTCTCCTTTTTTAGGTCGGTCATAACTTCAAATGGTCGCTAAGCAACCAGTCATCCAGTCTAGAACTAACTCTATAACTTGGTCTATCCCCTTAAGCCAGGGATGGGGAACTCTGGGCCAGCCCTTTTATGACTGGTGGACTTCAACTCCCAGAATTCCTGAGGCAGCTATGCTGAGCCCAGCCACACTAAGCCATGCTGGCTCAGGGATTCTGGGAGTTGAAGTCCAACAGTCATAAAAGGGCCATAGTTCCTCACCTCTGCCTTAAGCCATGGAATGGTACATTTTTTTGGACACCTGTGTATGTTTGGTAAACATATCCTTTGTTTACTCATGAGGTAAATCATCTGGATTTTGAACTAACGTTGTGTGAACTCGGCCTGTTTGTGTGACCGTGCATAGCAGACATGTGATTTATGCATTCCAGACAGGGGATGTTTGCATTTCAATTCTACATCCTCCAGTGGATGACCCACAGAGCGGAGAGTTGCCGTCGGAAAGGTGGAACCCTACGCAGAATGTAAGGTGAGTTTTCGTTCCTTCCTTAGCCACATTTAAACTTTTTTTAAAAAAAAATACAGATTCCCTCCGTTTGCTATGCAACAATACTCCAATCTGAAAAAGCGGGGTATTAGTAGCTGGAATGCAACTGCAGAACTGAAAACAGTGCTAACCTCTAGACACATTCTCCCCTCCCCCACATTTAATTTCCTTTTAGTTTAATACAGATAGTCCTCGATTTACAAAGTTTCATCTAGTGATTGTTCAAGTTACAACAGCACTGGAAAAAGTGACTTAGGGCCGTTTTTCGCACTCACAACCATTGCAGTAGCCGCTTGGCAACTGACTCACATTTATGACAGTTGAAGTGTCCCGGGGTCATTGCGACCTTCTGACAAGCAAATCCAGTGGAGAATCAAGATCAGGTGAAGTGTTGATACCACTTTATAATGCCTTTGGTAAGGCCACACTTGGAATCCTGCCTCCAGTTTTGGTCACCACGATGTAAAAAAGACGTTGAGACTCTGGAAAGAATGCAGAGAAAAGCAAACAAGGATGATTAGGCGACCGGAGGCTACAACATGTAAAGAACAGTTGGGTATGTCTATTCTAGTGAAAAGAAGGACTAGGGGAGATATAATAGTGGTGTTCCAATATCTGAGGGGCTGCCACAGAGTGGAAGGGGTCAAGCTATTCTCCAAAGCACCGGAAAGCAGGACAAGAAGCAATGGAAGGAAACTAATCAAGGAGTGATTAGTTGCCACTCGGCTTCCTGCCAGCCCGCATCTTGTCCCCTGGCTGGATTCTCCGCAGGTGCTGGGGCTCACGGCTGCCAGAGGGGTTTGCGGGAAACGAGCAGGGAGCACGAGTCTATGCCACCCACATTGCTGCTCTGCCAGCCACTCCTCCATCACCAGGCCGAGTGTTTGGGCCGAGTGCGGGCTGCCGCTGTGAGAACTTGGCGAGCTCCAGGGGCTGGAAACTAAGGCTAATGGCAGGGAAGGAAGATCCGCTCTGGTGAGGCTTGACTCTCACCCTTTTCACAGCGGCCAAAGCATACTCGGCCAAGGCACGCGGGCCGGCGGGAGAGGGAAGGAGCAGCAGGCAAAGGGGCGATGCGAGCGGCATAGCATCGTGCTCCCTAGTCACCTCACACACACACACCATCAGGCAAGGCCCAGCAGCTGTGGAGAATCTAGGCAGGGGGGCGAGACGCAGGCTGGCAGGGAACCGAGCAGCAACGAGTCAGCCTTGGCTTGCCTTCCTCTCTGCCACCAAGCAAGCTAGAGGCTGGGGATGGGGGGGCAGCTAGCTAGGCCGCAAGTGCCGCGTGGGATGGAGCCATGACGCTGGCGGCAAAACAAGCCAGGCGGCGATGGTGAGGGAGGCAACTAGCTAGGCCGCAATCGCTGAGGGCATCGGCAACACAGCAGTGGCGTCCTAGGCCGACCCGGGAGTCGGGACTCAACCGGGGCTTGTAGCGGCGAGTGCAAAAGCGGTACTATGGCAATTGGTTGCCTAGGCCGGCCCGGGACTGGAATCAGGAGTCGACCAGGGCTTGTGGCAGCAATGGCGGTGGCACAGCAGTGGCAGCCCAGGCCAGTCCGAGAATCAGGATTCAACTGGGGCTTGTGGCGGCAAGGGCAAGTGTGGCAGCGGTGGTGGAAGCCTAGGCCGGCCCAGGAGTCAGGACACGACTGGGGCTTGCAGAGCCTCAGTCACCATGGGCGATTTCAGATCAGGAAGGGCCGCAGCGGAAGGCAGGCAGCAATGGCTGGCAGGCAGACGAAGACAGACTGCAGGCCGTGATGGCACACGCACGAAATAAGGAGGGGAGGGGCCAGCCAGTGGCATGATTTGCCAATTCTCTGAACTATGCAGAATTGTAACAACCGCTTCTATAGAACCGGTCTGAACCGGTAGAATCACACCCCTGTATAAACCCAGCTCCCAAAATAAGCCCCAGTTAAGATCAGCCAGATGGATGCGTTTAGTGCTGAATTTCCCTGAAAATTAAGACCTAACTGTAAGCCCTAATGCAGGGGTGTCCAACCTTGGCAGCTTTAAGACTTGTGGACTTCAACTCCCAGAATTCCTTTGCTGGCTGAGGAATTCTGGGAGTTGAAGTCCACAAGTCTTAAAGTTGCCAAGGTTGGACACCCCTGCCCTAATGTGTCTTTTGGAGCAAAAAAAAAAAAATTAATGTAAAACCCAGTCTTATTTTCGGGGAAACCCAGGTAGCTATACTTAAATTACGCATTATTTTAATATGCTATTTTTTTAATGTTTTTCCCGTATCAGAACAATTCTCCTTAGTGTCATCTCACTCCTGAATGAACCAAACACTTTCTCTCCTGCAAATGTTGACGCTTCAGTGATGTACAGAAAGTGGAAAGAGAGCAAAGGGAAGGATCAAGAATACACGGACATCATCAGGTTGGTAGATCACCCAGCTTTGGAGATGAACTGGTCACTCTGGATGTCTCCCAGTACTGTGTTTACCACAGGTAGTCCTTGACTTATGACCCTATTGCATTTGCCCTTTACGGTCATAAATCGTGGCTGATCTGGGTATTATTATTATTATTATTATTACTACTACTACTACTACTACTACTACCTTTTTTGCAGTGGTCATAAAGCAAATTGCCATGGTCATTAAGTGAATTGTTAAACGAACCCATTGTTTGGACATTTTTACTGAAATCCAGAAGCAAACCCTGGTTTTCTTCTGGGTTGAAAGGATTAGCCAGCGACATCACCGTTGCCCAGGGAGGGATGCCCAGTGGGGTCTGCTTTCATGTCCCCAGCAGGAGCTGGAGCTCACCCTGTCCCACAGCAGCACTTAGGTCTCGAACGTGGGCTTGCCTCCAACCCAGCATCCTTGCTCCTTGCGGCTGACATGAATCTCTAGAGCAGAGGTGTCAAACTCAAGGCCCAGGGGCTGGATTCAGCCCACGGGGTGCTTAGATCTGGCCCACAGGGCTGCCCTAGAAACAGCAAAGGACTGACCCACGGTTTCTCTGCCAGAGAAATGGAGCTTGAGAGGGCCATGTAAGGCCCTCCCAAGCTCAGTTTTCTCTGGCAGAGTTGCAAGAAGTCGTCGCAGCCAAAAATGGAGCTCGGGAGCCCGTATTTTCTGGCAGAGCGCTCGGGCCAACACAAGCGCCCTCGATACGAGTGACGTCAAGCCAGCCACACCCACCCTGGCCCCTCGAGGTCAAGCGCAACCCCGATGCAGTCCTCGGTGAGATTGAGTTTGACACCCCTTGTGATGACCCGGGACATGGCACAAAGGCTGTACAGGCAGATAATAAGAGTTCCTTTAATTAGCTCCAACTTTGCCCCCAATGTTTTGGTTACCTTCTGGGCTGGAGGAAAACTCTCCCAGAAACAATCTTTGGCTGCAGAGAATCAAGTCCAAAACGTGGTCAACAAAAACTGTAACTATAAGTCCAATCAAGGCAAAATGAGGTAATTGGTTTGACAAGGCAGGAGCAAGAATTCCAGAAGTGAAGGCACGGCAATAACTCAACACGGTTGGGAAGACACCAGGAACACTGATAAGCAAAGTCAACAACAAGATAAACTCACGTTTGCTCCCAGCAGCTGCCGCACTCAGCATGCATCTCTTTTAAACTCTCTTTCCAGCTGTGGTTAATGAAGGGAATCAGGGCCCTTTCCTCCCCCGTAAGTCACACAACCTACGTTGCTCTCTTCTCCATTCCTCCCTGCGTGAAGAGGGGTTGGGCCTGGGTCTTCCTCTGAACTGCCTTTCTCTTGTTCTACCTCTGCTCTGCTCTGCCCAGCCAGACTTTCCCTTCCCCAATTTCCTCCACAGCCAGCGGAGCCACACTTCCACTCCCTGTCAGCTGTTCGTCTTCCTCCTCGGATTCAGACTCCGACAGGGGCATGACACGCCTGCTCTAGAGATAGCAATAGCATAGCACTTAGGTTTATATACTGCTTCACGGTGCTTTGCAGCCCCTCTCTAACAGGAAGGATGGAAAGCTGAGTCACCTTGAGTCAGTCAGGATCGAACTAAACAGTAGAAAGGAAGAGTCAGCCTGCCATACAATTAGCCCTTGACTTACGACTACAATTGAGCCCAGAAATTATGCTGCTTAGTGAGTTTTGCCCCATTTTATGATTTTTCTTGCCCCATTTGCTAACCGAATTTCCGCAGCTGTTAAAACAGTAACCCAATCGTTAAGTGAATCTGGCAATCCCCATTGACTTTGCCCGTCAGAAAGTCGCAAAAGGGGATCACATGACCCCCAGGACACCGCGACCATCATAAATATGGAGCCAGTTGATAAGCGTCTGCATTTTGATCACGTGATCCTGGGGATGCTGCAATGGTTGTGTGAAAAAGGGTCCTAAAAAAAGTCACTTTTTTTCAGGGACATGGTAACTTCAAACAGTCACTAATTCAACTGCCCTGCATTCTAACCATGATGCCACCAGGGTGTCAGGATTCTCGCAGTTACCCTTATTAAATCATGAGTCTCAAGCCAAACTTCCAAAGGATTTATTGGGAGTTAACATGTCCGGCACTGCCTGGGTGTAGTCGACTCTGAGACACATCATTCATTGTCACCCTTGACCCTGGTTTCCCCCCACCCCTCTGGGTGTATCATAATTCATATCCTCCAATGGGACATGTTGAGGTAATTCCCTGTAAGGAGAATGAGCGCGTACAGGGAGACGTATAGAGAGTAGTGTTTGAATAATACACACAGAGCGCACAGATACACTGTACAGTAAATGTAGGTTTTTACTTCCAGAAAAGTTTAAGCAAAGTCCCAAATAAGCAATCCAAAAGTCATTCACAGGTAAAATCAGTCAGTTTTCATCCAGGGATAATCCAAATATCAAATTCCAGTGTCAAAAACAGTTCAGTATCAGACTTACATTAAATCCAGTAATATCAGTCAATTTGGAAAAATGGGGGAACGGCAATATTTTCCAACAGAAGGAAACAGAGATACTCACTCAGACACACTCCCTTCTGAGACTAAGACTAAAACAACCCAGGTTTCTGGCTCCATCTTATGGCGGTTTGAGTAACCACACCCAATTTACATGCTCTTGCATTCCCTTAAAGATATAGTACTAAAATGTTTATCCTGGTTTATATATTTCTAACCCAAATACCTGTTAGGTGACTTATATTCCTAACAGGACACATCCATAGCCAAGAGTTATCAATCCTGTTCTACAGTTAGAATTTTGCAGGGCAGAAACTTCCGTCACCTAGTTACTATCTTTGAAAACATTTACGGAATGCAGTTTCGGTGTTTGCAAGCTGCCGCACTGCTCCCCCCCTCCCTTTCCGTTGGCAACTCTAAAAAGACCATAGAAATATTTTATGAGTTGACAGTGGGCTCTACAAACGAACGTCTTCCTTTCCAGGAAACAAGTCCTGGGAACCAAGGTGGAGGCCGAAAGGGACGGAGTCAAAGTCCCCACCACGCTAGCGGAGTATTGCGTCAAGACCAAGACGCCAGCCCCGGACGAAGGCTCCGACCTCTTCTACGACGACTATTATGAAGACGACGAGATGGACGACGAGGTGGAAAGCTGCTACGGGGACGAGGACGACTCTGGCAACGAGGAGTCTTGACGAGGGATTCCCTGCCCCGTCCCCCCTTCTTTCGCCACCCCCCCTCTCCCCGTCCCTCCTCCCCCTTCTCCTCCTCCCTCCACCGCTGCCTCCTGCTGCTGCACCTGATAGTAGCAATAAATTACCTGACTCATACTTGAACCCAGGATCCAACCCGGCTGAGACCTGGAAACCCCGTTTGGCCCCGAGACAAAAGGACCCAAAAAACTCTACCTCAAAAGGAAGACTCGGCTCCTGCTTGACTGGGGAGGGGGTGGGAGAACTCCCAGGGGGCTTCAAGTGCTGTGTGTGTTTTTCGGGGCTTTGGATTTTGGGTTTTTTTTAAAAAAAAATTTTGCTTTTATTCGGGGAGGATTTGGGTGGATGGAAAGCGATTCCTGATTATATCATCCTGAGCCGATGCTTTGGCCATCTGGAGGGGAGTTCGGGGCCCGGGGCCGAGTCGTTGGACGGTCCCTTCAGGAGGCAGGACCCGAGCGCGAAGTTTTTGTGACGTGGGTGGTGTTTTTTTTTTTTTTCCCCTTTAAACAACAACAACAACAACCGCAGGCTAAGATATTTGGGGAGAATTTCTAGCGAGGAATTTTTCTAGCTGTGCCAGGCAGGTCGGGGCGACCTATTAACCAGCCTGTGTTTGTATAGCAGAGGCAAATATTGTGAAGTGGGTATTTCTTTCTGGTTGGCTCTGGAGGCAAGGCCAGGAAGCCGCCTGAGGTTTCTTCCAGTGGGGGTGAAAGAGGGTTCCTTCCTTCCTTCCTTCCTTCCTTCCTTCCAGCACCTGTTCTCCCCAGAGCATCGGTATCTCGGTTCTGGCACTCCGCCAAGCTTCTGTTCGACCCAAAATGGCCTTGAGGATCGTTTATCTACTTTCTTTCCTCAGCTTGACTTTCTTTCGGGGAGAGCCCCCAACTCCCCGGCCAGCAAAGGAGCGGAGAGCAAGCCCATTCCCTGGTGGGGGGTTCCTGGAATGTTACAGGGAGTGAACGAGGAGGTGGGCTATCAGTGGTGCATTGTCCAGTGGTGGGATTCTCCCGGTTTCCCAATCGGTTTGGCGATTGTGTACTTTGCGCGCGTGCGCGCGCAGCTTTCCAAACTTCAGAAGTGGAGGCTGAGGCTGTGCCACGTCCCGTCAGTGAGAGGATCAAGAAGAGAGAAGCGTAGGGTTGGCGGGAAGGCCGCTGCTGCAGTTTTTCTCTTCTTTGTCCAAGTCTCAGCTGATCGTCGGAGCTTTTTGTTGTTGTTGTTTTTAGCATTTTTTGCTATCAGTTCGACTGAACCAGGCCGAACCAGTAGCATTTCACCACTGCCATCGTCACTTGGGTGTAGAGCTAAAACAACAGCCTAAAACGAGGCGCCTCAGCTCCTAGAGAGCTCATTGCTGGATTTGGGGGACAGGCACTGGAGTGGACAGAAGGTAGGATAGACTGGAGAGAAGGCACTCCACTCCGCCTTCTATACCAGCTTCACCAAGTAGCTCCCTTCCCCTTTTTTCCAGAGATCTTGACCCAAAGTTGGGTAGCTCCGTAGGAGGCCACAGCTCTGACTGAGCAGGCCCATACCTAGAGCCAAACATGGGGTCCTTCAGCCAGGACAAATTATGGGGGGAAAGCATGGAAGGGAAAGGCTCCTGGTCTTCCCCCTCCTCGCCTTCTCCTCCAGAGCTGCCTCTCCCGATTTCCGTTATGGAGAGAAAACACCAGGCCACGTTGAAAAGACAAGTCACTGACGGAAGAAAGAGACTCTGTCCAGCCGGGATGTCTCCCCTTGAACCCAGAGGTAGAAAGTAAAGAGTGGATTAACAAGACCAGCAGCCAATCCTTGAATTCCCTCCCTTCGACATCCAGGTACCTGCCCAGAAAAAGAGACCCCAGTTCTAAAAGACTCAAGACACTCTTTAACACAAGGATTTCCAAACTGGGCAATTTTTAAGCCTTGTGGATTTCAACTTCCAGAACTCCCCAGCCGGTCTGGGAGTTGACGTCCACAAGGGTTAAAAGTTGCCAAGTTTGGAGACCCATGCTCTAAGTCTTTAAACTAGATAGCTTTAAGACTTGTGGACTTCAACTCCCAGAATTGCTCCTCCAGTCATGTTGCCTCAGGAATTCTGGGAGTTGAAGTCCACAAGTCTTAAACTTAACCCTGGTTCTAAGTCTAAGAGGCCCACTGGCGCAGAGGTTTTTAATGTGGGACAAAAAAAACCCACTCCACCCACCTAGTTCCAGCTTCCCTTCAACAGAGTCTTTGATGCCGAGTTGGGGATCGCTACTTCCTGCCAATAAACGTCATGCTTTAGACCTGTTCATCTCCCCTCTGATGGCTGGAGATCCTACAGGCCAGAGTGTGTGGCCAAAGCCATAATCACAAAGGTCACCTACGCCCCCCCCCCCCCCAATAGCTGCTAGTCTAAATGCTCAAATCTCAGCCAGAGGCCTGGTAAATAGCATCACTGCTAACAAACCACGATAGTGGAAAACCTGAAGAAGGTTCTCCTTCAACCTGCTTGAGGAAAAACAAGCCGCCCCAGAGTCTTCAGGAATGGGAGGCATACAAGTGAAATAGTAACCAGCATAGGAAAGCAAGGGTAGCAGGAGATATATGATTGAAATGACTTTCAATATTAATAGTTCGGATTGGATTGTTGTCGGTTTGAACTCTTTGAGAATGGTGATTCGGTTGCAAACATTTCGTCCCCGTTTGAGGAGGCATCTTCAGTGCGCATTCAAGCTCGGAGCTCAAACTAACAACAGAACAAGGTATGGCTCCATTGTTTTCGATTGCTACTTCACAGACTCCAAATCAGAGGCAACTCTGGGGAAGAACAAAGACCCCCCCAAAAGAAACCCCATCGAACCCCTCCCAATTGGAAATCTTTTCTCAGTGGGAAGTCCTCCCAGAAGAAAGCGGGAGTAAATGATTGTCGCAACCTCTCTGTCGGTGAGAGGACCTTCCCATAAACCCGTAGTATCTAAAGCAGGGGTGGGCAAACTTTTTGGCTCGGGGGCCTCATTGACTTTTAAAATTTGACAGACGGGCCGCCACCTGGTGTCGAAATGCCTGTCATTACAAGTCAAAATCAAATGAATGCAATCATTCACATCAAACCGTAATTCTGTACCAATCTTCGGCGGGCCGGATTAAAAAGACCAACGGGCCGGATGTGGCCCCTGGGCCGTAGTTTGCCCACCCCAGATCTAAAGACAATCTTAACATGGTTTCCACCATCAAATTGTCCTGCTTCAGCTCTTCAAGTTGCACAAAGTAGCCAACTGCAGGCTAGTCCTGAGGGCCATAAACCACCTTCAGAGCCTCAAACCAGTCCCATGCGGCAAGCAATTCTCCGGTTTCCTCACGCCATGTTCTTCATCGGGAAATCCAGCTAAAACAAACACGGTTTAAGTTTTGGATGGAATGAAATCCTTTATAGAGGCATTGGGGGGGGGGGGGAGAATTGTCCCTGGTTCATACATTCTAATCCAGCCATTGCTTGCTTGAGTTCAAGTGCCAAGATGGCTGCCGCCAAATCCAGCCCGCCCCTCCACCATTGAAGTCTTGTAATTGCAAATGCGTTTGTGGCTGTTGTAGTTCTCGGGTTGCAGGGTATACGCGATGGATCTGGTTATCTGGTCATCTTAAAGCACATTTGGCTTATTGCACCTGGAAGGGGCTTTTCCTCTTGCAAACAGACTGACTCAATGCCGTGTCAGATGAATGATCTCAAGACTGGAGAGTAGTCCGTTCCAAAACAGCCCCAATGGGAGATTGTAAGGCAGAGGTCTCCAACCAGTGGAAACTTTGAAGACTTGTGGACTTCAACTCCCAGAATTCCCTGGCCAGCATGGGCATTCTGGGAGTTGAAGTCCACAAGTCTTAAAGTTGCCACGTTTGGGGACCCCTGTTGTATGGTTTTCCAGGAATGCAACTACCCCAGCTGTCCTCAGCACCAGGGTCCCCCAGGGAAGATATGTGATGGTTCCACAAGGTTTCTCCCATGTCTTCTGAAAATAACTTGCACTTTTTTTTTTGAAGTCTCTTTCAACAGGAGTTTGGCACAGAAAATAGCATCCAGAAGAGGCAAGACTCCTTTTGATGGCATTTCCCAACCATGGGAGCTTTTAAAACGTGGACTTTGACTCCCAGAATTCTCCAGCCAGCATGGGCATTCTGGGAGTTGAAGTCCGCACGTCTTAAAAAGTTCCCGTGGTTGTGGAAACCCTGCCCTAGGAGATAAGATCCCAACCCAAGGGCATCTCTGCTGGGTTCCTCCTTTTCATGGTTCCATTGCAGGACAATGTGACACCATATTTATCCAAGAAGGTTCTTCTTACAGTGGAAAATAAATAAAGGGATCTACCAGCACCAGCAAGTTGTATAGCAGGGGTCTTCAAACTTGGCAAGTTTAAGACTTGTGGACTTCAACTCCCAGAATTCCTCCTCCAGTCATGTTAGGTCAGGAATTCTGGGAGTTGAAGTCCGCAAGTCTTAAACTTGCCAAGTTTGAAGAGCCTTGTCGTATGGAGTCTAGTTTCTCTCTCTCTCCTGCATTCCTGCCTTTTCAAATGTTATTCCTTTGAGCTCGCCCTCTTTTTTTTTGCTGATTCCCTCCCCAAGGATTTTGACGTCCATCTTTTAGAACGGGAAGGGAATAGCCCACTTCAAAATGTCCTCCTCTGTCTGCTGTAGAAAAAGGACTTTGCTAAAATCCCAAGTTTTCCTTTTCGCAAGCAAATGATGATGGTGTGTGTGTGTGTGTGTGGTGGGGTTGTCTTTTTATTTATTTTTACCCGGATCCCATGTCTCGCTGGGCGCGCTGAATGGAAATCTCTGCTTGTCTTTTGATGTCGCTTTCCTGATTTTGTGAGATGATGCCCCTTTCTCTAGGGTGGGATTTGCTAGGATTTGCACCTGGGGGGGGGGGGGGGGGGGGGGGATGAGAAACGGGGGAGGGAGGGTAATGGGTAAAAATCGACTGTTTTGTAGAATTGGGGGGTGGGGGGGTTGGCAGGGGATGGGATATATATTTTTTGCTTTTTTCTGTTTTTTTGTTTCGTTTTTCTGGATTTGAAGCTATTTAATAAAACGATTTTGAAAGGAAGTGGGGTCTGGGGTTTTTTTTGTCCTCTTTGGCAGCATTGCAACCTCTGGAGGATGGGAGGAAAAAAATGTTCTGAAATGATAGTAGATAATCCGTTGTGAGCGACAGGGTTTTGCCAGCTCAGAACTGAAATAGTTATAGTCCCATGTTATTGTCCAGGGGTCTCCAAACTTGGCAACTTTAAGACTTGTGGACTTCAACTCCCAGAATTCCTCGGCCAGCTTCGTGGAACATTTTGACAGTGATTTGCTAATCTGGTCATGTGCTGACCTGGGGAAATGCAGCCTCTGAATGATTACAAAAATCCAGGCTTATTTTGTGGTTTACAGATCCATAGAGGAGAAGGGGAAGATTGGCAAAGAAGAAACAAAAGTGATAAATTCAGAGAAAATGGAAACCCAGCTGGAGAATGGCCCACAAGCACTTTAAGACTTGTGGACTTCAACTCCCAGAATTCCCCAGCCAGCATGGGGAATTCTGGGAGTTGAAGTCCACAAATCTTAAAAAGTTGTCAAGGATGGACACTCCGCTTAGCATCTGTAACTCTTCACCTTATTCCCGGTGTGACTGGAAGTGATCAGTTCATATCTCTGTTAAGAGAGAGTTCTTCTGTTGGTACAGGAAAAATATTAATTAAACCATTAGAACTGTTCATAATTTTAGGTAAGGGGCAAAGCAGTTACTCTCTTGTGGACTCTGAGGATATTCTTATTCCGTATTGGAGTTTCTTCCCACCTCCATTTAATAGGCTTAAAGAAAGTGCAGTTAAGATGGGGATATAGTATTTGGAACATGGGCAAAAAGGTGTTAACCAAACATATTTGGAGGAGGTTTTTGAAGAATTTTCCCCTTTTGAAGAATTAAGACACTAAAGCTTCGGATATCCAGGTATACTGCCACCCTCAGCTATGATTTTATGTGTCACGAAAGCTACGTTTGCAGAGAGACAGAGCTACTTAAGCCTTGGCAAGGATATGTGCATTTTGCAATGCCTGCCACACAAAATAACAGAGTTGGAAGGGACTTTGGAGGTCTTCTAGTCCAACCCCTGCTCAAGCAGGAGACTTTAATACTATTCCAGACAAGTGGCTGTCTTAAACGGCTCCAGTGATGAAGCAGTCACAATCCATTCCACCGATTAATTGTTCTCACTGTCAGAAAATTTCTCCTTAATTCTAGGTTGCTTTTCTCCTTGATTAGCTTCCATCTGTTGTTTTTTTGTCTTGCCTTCAGGTGCTTTGGAAAATAGGCTGACCCTCTGATCTTTGTGGCAGCCTCTCAAATACTGGAAGACTGCTGTCATGTCTCCCTCAATCCCTGCAATTGTTCTTCGTGCGTTTTAGCCTCCAGCTCCGTAATCATCCTTGTTGCTCTTTTCTGCACTCTTTCCAGAGTCTCGACATCTTTTTTATAATATGGTGACCAAAACTGGAGGTTATGACCGGGACTCGTGCATCACACTCAACCATAATGTATACGTGTGAAATTTGTGGTCTAATCCATAGATTGGGCTTAGTGGCTTGTAAGCCCAGCTTGTTTTGGGTTGTTCAACAAATCAGGTTTTAAAGATAGCTTAGGCAAGAATATGTGAAGCCAGTTATGTTTGCTGCCTTATAACCCCAAACGGTTTGTGCTAATAAGAACTTTCCCCACTGCTAAAACTGGGAAATAGATGTTTTTTTCTCCTGTTATGAAAGAGTTGTGCAAATAAATAGCAATAAAATAAAAATGGTCTTGATGTACAGGTAGTCCTCAACTTACAACAGTTCACTTAATGACTGTTCAAAGTTACGGCACTGAAAAAAGTGATTTATGACCGTTTTTCATACTTATGACCATTGCAGCATCCCCATGGTCAAGATTTACTTTCAGACGCTTGGCAACTGCCTCATATTTGATTGTCCTGGGGTCATGGGATCCCCTTTTGAGACCTTCTGACAAGCAAAGTCAATGGGGAAGCCAGATTAATTTAACAACTGTGTGACTAGCTTAACGCCTGTATTGATTCACTTACCAACGGTGGCATGAAAAGTCATAAAATGGGGGCAAAAGTCACTTAACAAATGCTTCACTTAGCAACACAAATATGGGGCTCAATTTTGGCCCTAAGTCGTGGATCCCCTGTACAAACAGGGCTTCATTTTGTGCAGAAATATATAACCTGACATAAATTGGCTTAATCTCTAACTTCAGCAGGAGGCAAAGAGGGATAGAACCTCTTGCGTGCTTTTCTTGTAAACAAGATTTGGATTCCGTCTTGAGCTGCTCAGTGTCTGGAAGCAGTGTCTGTGAGAGCAGGTGAGTAGGGGTAGACTGCTCCTAAACACAGCAGCTCTCTGAAATGTCAGTCATTTGAAAGTGTTTCTCCTTCTTGGATGCATCTTATCATTTGATTTTTTACACTTTTCTAAGACTGAGCTGCCCCAATGCTGCTTTTTTCATGAGGCAACTGGAATTTCTTTTTTTTTCTTTTGAAGAAATTTTGCTTCTCATCCAAGAAGCTTCTTCAGCTCTGACTGGATGGTGGGGAATGGACGGGTTTATACCCCTTGCAGGCAGCTAGTCATTTGCATCCTTTTAGAGAGTTGTTGAGGCTACTTGGAGGTTATCCGTGTCCTCAGAGCCACCTGAGTAATGCAAATGGTTCTTGGAGTCTGCAATTTTTCCTCTGGAAACCCATTCCTACTCCCACCCCATTCAAAGGGTGTCCATCCCAAATTGCATAGTTCAAAGTCTGTAGAGCAGTGGTTTTCAACCTGTGGCTCGCAACCCCTTTGGGGGTCGGACGACCCTTTCACAGAATTGGAAAACACATATTTTTGATGGTCTTAGGCAGGGATCTCCAACCTTGACAACTTGAAGACTTGTGGACTTCAATTCCCAGAGCTCCTCAGCCAGCAAAGCTTTGCTGGCTGAGGAACTCTGGGAATTGAAGTCCACAAGACTTCAAGTTGTCCAGGGTGGGGACCCCCTGGTCTTAGGAACCAAGCCATAATTTTATGGTTGGGAGTCACAACATGAGGAATTGTATTAAACGGGTCCCGGCATTAGGAAGGTTGAGAACCACTGCTGTAGAGGTTCTCAGTCATCCAGGTATCGGTTGTCCCCAAAGTGCTTTTTCAGGAAGCAACTGGAGTTTCCTGTTTCTTCTACATACTTTTCAGACTGAGCTGGTTGATGAAACCATAATTCCTTTTACACCGATCGAAGCCTTTATGGTTAGCGAACATTGGGCTTTTTCTATGCATCTAAAACCTGTTTCTTTGCTATTCACTGGCATAAGCTGCTTTTATTAATGGAAGTGTGATTTCACGATTAATTGCGCCATAATTTCCATGCAAGCAGGACAAGGATTATTACGCAACACACACACACACATACACACACACACCGCCCACACGCCCTTATGCTTAATAACCTCCAGCGAGGTCAACGCGGCGCCTTTAACAATCGCGTGTCCTTCTGCACGACCCAAAGTAAACGGAAGAGATGGAGAGTGGGCGGAGCCGCTAGTTCTTCGCCTTGTGGTTGGCCGTCAACGTCCATTGATAGGCGGGAGTACTCTGTATGGGCATATATACGTTTTTACAGGACATTGATTGGCTTGGGCTGCTATCAGTCTACAGTCGCCATGCACTGATTGGGCAGCGCTGGAGAATGGTCAGGAACCTGATTGGCGGTTGCTATTGCGACCGCCTATCGGCGTATGTGATAGCGTAGAGGTCACTAGTTTGTCTCGCCAAATCGTGAACGTTATAAAGGTTTAAGGCCGGCCTCTTTTCCGAGGGCTTTTTCTTCTCAATCTCACTTTTTCTGATCGCTTCCTTTTACGCCGCTCTTCCTGGGTTGCCCCATATACCACAGAATCTCTTCATCTCCGCCAGCGTCCAATCATCAGCCGGGCCGACCGCGTCGTCACCCGTGATTGGCTGCGACTCATGACTATAATTTTAAAACCGTCTCCTACACTTCCCACTTTATCCCCGCCCTTTGGAATCTCGCGCGCTCCCGAATTCTGAGTGGACCAGCTTTCGCGTCACTCCGAGGAGTTTGAGCCAATAGTGAGATCGGAGGCTCCTCTCGCTCGTCCGCTATTGGCTTGGGCGCCTTGTGGGCTCGCCCCTTTTCGTCCCCTTGAAAGGGCTATAAGCGCCTCAGACGGACGAAGTGAGACCGGCTCGGACGTGTGAAATCGTGCCAGGCATCGGCGGAGGGTCGGTCATGGCGGCCGGGATCGTGCTCCTGACGCTGGGCTCCTTGCTCTGCGCTCTCAGAGGCGCCTCGGCAGCAGGTAGGGCAGAAGAAAGGCTGATCTGAGTCGGGCCCCCGGGGCCACTTCCATATCCGAAGGGCTCCTGAAAGCGGGGGAGCGTTCTTTGGTCTCCCTCCGGAGGAAGAACGTGGGTTGGTGGGGGAGAGAGAAATCTTTCCTAAAGCGGGTAGGGCGAGGAAGCCTTTTTCGCTCGTTGGTCTCCGCGTCCCTGGAGGAGGGAAGAGGTCTTGCCTCCCTCGAGTTAAGGAAGGGAGGGAGGGGTTCGTCCCCTCGTTCGTTATTGGGGAGGAGAGGGATGCCCCCCTCAAGACAAAGAGGGGAGGGGGGGCCTTCCACGTTATTGGGAAGGGACCGTCTCCCCTTCAAGAGAATGAGGGGAGGGGGCTCCCCATACGGTGCTTTCTTCGGAGGAGGGAAAACGTTCCCCTCAAGTTAATGAAAAAAAAGGGGGGGCTCCTCTTGTAC